TTACTACTAGGAGCAAGAACGCTAGGAGCAAAGGGCATCGCTACTAGAAACAAGGACGCTACTAGGGGCTCCTGGCCTTGCTACTAGGAGCAAGAAACTACTAGGAACAAAGGGCATCGCTATTAGAAGCAAGAAACTACTACCTGAAAGACTTCCTCCACACCAAACTTCACCCAAACTTTCCCGCCGCAATCTCCGCAACTGGATGCGCATCCACCTCGAGGTTAGGCGCGTTGTGCCTGGGCAAGCAGGATTGAGTCTGCACGGTGTTATCCCAGGGTGCGCCGATCGCACGCTGCGCACAAACAAGCCTCCTCCGATGTTCGCATTCCCTTACGTTCTTCCCCCAAAACCCGTCAAACACCGCCCTCCCTATTCTACTCGGCGGCAGAAAATGGTATCAAGGCATGAACGCCCACGGAGGGAACCCCCTCGAGCGTTTTCGCGCGAACGTCTGTGGCCCTTCCAAGAATCACATCCTACACTCTCCTGGCATTGAATTGGGCTCGTGGTTTGAGATCAATTCCATATACTATCTGTCCCTGGATCAGCAAATGGAGTCAAACCGTTTGGAAGACCAGGAAAATGATGTGCTCCGCTAAACACGGCTATCTTGGAGATCAGTCGCGGAATCGAATCACTGGTCGAATTTTTTTTTAGGGTATCTCAGTATCTCTGTTGAACAGGTCCATCAACTGCATCTGCAAAGGTTTCTGCAGGTGGTGTCCACACCTTGACAGGACTCAGCTTCAACTTTCCTTTGGAGCCCGGGCGCTGGTGCCATGCTGCTTCACCTGGAAGGATGTTTCACCCGAAGGTCAAACTCATGCTTACGCAGGTGGTTGCAAGAAAGCTGGACGTCCTAGCTGTAACAAAACAGAGAGAAACCAGCGGGATTCCTGCTTCTAACATCCCACAAAGCAGAACTGAAAAGAAAGCCGCTTGGGTGGGGGTAAGGGCCGCTTCACCGTGTCTCGCACCAAATTTGGGTGGTTTATGCACGCTTATGCGAAGTTTTTGGAGACTATCCAAAAGCTTAGCGCAAGCCATCAAGATGTGGTGCAAGACATGACCGTAATCAACAGCATGTCATCCTGTTGATTACAGTCATGTCCTGCACCAAGCCACCATCGAAGAAACTCTTCAGGCTAGCCAGCGAGTGCAAGCCAAGTATGATCTGTTGTCCCTCAGAGAAGGCCGCACCACTGATCCCACTTCACAAAATGGGCATGACCTCCCTTCATTCGACGCTGCTGGGTCGGTACTGGAAGACGCCGAAAGTGGAGCACTTGCCAAGGAAGAAACCAGGAGCGCCCAGCGGAAGGTTGAGAGTTTCAACGTCCATCTGGTCCACATCCGTGCTGGAGGAAAATGTCTCAGCTTACCATTTGTTCAATGTCACTGCCCTCATAATGGCCGTCTCAGGTCTTTTCCAACGCAGATGTGAACTTGGCGCGCGCCCCATTATGAAGGAGGCATGCAGGCCCTGCGTCCTGACCTTGCTGGGCCGCAGCTTGATCTTGTGGCACCTAGTGTGTTGGTCGCGTTGATCAAGGATTGAATTTGCTCACATGTGTTTGGCGCAACTTGAAGTGACACTTGATATTGATGTTTTGTGACGTTTCCTGTGGCAACTGGCGCCAGCCATGCGTAATAATCACGCGCAAGTCAGGCAACACAAGCTAGGCCACACTAAATTCAAGTAGAACACTGACTGAAGGCTGCCTCGCACACCAAGTGACAAAGCTATTTAATGGTTGTCACGAATGCCTGGTGGAGAACGGGTGGCATGTGAGAACGCGGCACGCGAATACTATTCAACCATGCACTTGGCAGGTGGTGTTTGCTCTCAGGCCAGTGTTGCGCTGCGAGTGTCTTGTTGGTCTTGTCATGACGTTGATGAGTTTGACTTGACAGGCGATCGAGGAGTCTTCAAATTGCAGCCTCACATGTCACATGCCACATGAAGCATGTAGGACATCGCATTCACCTGTTTCATCTGAAATTTGCATGTCAGTTATCACGCTTGTCGCAATATATACCTCATAACTCAAAAATATATATATATATATATATATTGCGGGAGCTCTTTTGATCTCGCAAAGGGTCTAAGTGCGGTACACATGATTTGTGTGTGTCATCCTTTGGAACTGGAATGCCTTTTCTTAGCACTCCTCCTTGGAACATTGAGCCCTTTTTGGCTTGTATGTTCCACTAAAACTTCAGTTTCGGGCTATCTAGGAACTCCTGGTGGCGTTCCATCTTTTTGTACACTAGCAGCCTTCCTGCCGCATCTCCGGCTCTGTCTGCACGGAGCCACTCGTGATGGAGCTGTTCCATGTGCTCCTTCGCTCTCAGCCCGGATCTTCCCTCTGGTAGGTCTAGATCTCCAAGGTCTTCCATTCTCATTTTCTTTATCTCTTCAATCTTTTCATCACGTTGCCTCTTTCGTTCAGCCTGCCTTGCTTGCTCGACATCATTGTCTTCTGGATCGCTCTCAGGCTCTCGTCGTTGTAGGTACTCCATGGGGATGTCAACCACTTCTCCTGAGTCTAATCGGACTTGGGCTGTCTCTCCCAACTCCAGTTCTTCTCCTGGTACATCATCTGGAAATGCACCAGCAAGATCAATCTCCTCATCCTCAAAGTCATCGATGCACTTCCTGATCAGATGATCTTTTGCTTGTGCCTTCAATCTCTGAAGATTGTAGTTCCTGTTGGACCGCTGTAAATAGTCCCAGTGTTTCCAATCTTCATCAGCCATTTCACCCTCGTCCACGAAGCCGTCATTCTTGATGAGACCTCGATGAAGTTTCAACATGTATTCGGCCATTGTCTTCATTGCTGCTTTCTCTGAGTCTTGCTGCCTCTTCACCTCTTTCACATCGTAGTCCACTGCACTGATCATCATCCCATCAGTTTTGCAGTCTTCTTTCAGCTCTTGAAGATCCCTCTTCACTTCTCGCAAGCTCTTCCAGAGCATGTAGATCACTCCAGCAAGGATCATCACAAGCGCGAGCAAAATGCTCACTGCCAAACTTGCCATAGAGCTCCAACTCCTGTTTTCTTCGACCATGCACATGTCCTTCTCATCAACATAGTTCCCGGCCACGTGCTCAAGACCCTCAAGAAGTAAGATTCGGTTAAGCAGTTTGGCTAGCCTTGCAATCTTTCCTTTGCTGACTTGCTCATTCACCACTCTGTCGTGCTCTCCTTTTCCCAAGCGTTCATGCTCCTTGTTGTTGACCCTGCACCAGAAGAGGATAAGTTGAATCCTTGCCCTGCTCAGTGGCTTCGTCCCAAGGTCAGCGACATTGTATACAGTCCCAACTGACTTCACCTTGAGCTCCTCCTGGGCAACTAGATCCTGCACCCACAGCAACTTTCCTGCGATGTGCCTTAGCCTCCCTGGGCCCTTCTTGTGGCACAGGTGCAAGGCTGCGGAGTTGTCCACGAGGCAAGTAGATACCATCTGCTGCTGCACCAACCAGGGCATTCAATTCTGCTTCTGCAGAGCTAAGGCTCACAGACTTTTGCCCCCTTGAGCTCGAGAAAACGATGGCTCCATTCACCATGTGAATAGCTGCACTTGTTGATCTCCTGTGACTCTTTGAGCCTGACCAGTCACTATCAGAGAAGGTCTCTAGCAGCCATCTTGAGGTTTCGCATCGCGTCACCAATCCACGGCCTGCCTCCTCCACTTCCATAACACTGTACTGGCCCATGGTGGACTTCAAATAGCCAATCATCTTAGCCAACTTCTTCAAGCTCCCGGTTGTAGGGCATGCCATGTTGGAAGCCAGCTCTTTCACTGCGAAGCTGATGTCCATCCGCTCCTGGCTCAGGTAGATGCCGCACCCTACCAGTGAACGGTAGAGTCCTGCCAGATCTGAACCTAGTGGCATGGTCCCATCTTGCTCCAACATCTCTTGCCCGCAAGGAAGCTGTTGTAGCTTGACTTTGCCCATCATAGCCTCATACTTCTCCACCATTTCTTCTGCATACTTCCCTGGATGGACTTTGAGACTTGGCTTGTCCTGGTTCTCTCCCAGCTCATACGTTCTCCTAAGGAACTGGATTTGATCCTGAGGCTTCTCGATGTGCTGGTGGGAAATCTCGAACCTCATAGTGATCTTGGGTAAGAACACTTCCGTCACGTAGGTCTTCTTTCCTACGAACATGATGTCATCAACATGGATCAGTATCATCATCTCTTCTCCATTCCTCCCCAAGCATGGACTTTCTTTGCAGAACTCGAAGCCCTGCTCTTCCAGCCACTGAGTGATGCACTCAAACCATGCTTTTGCCCCTACTCTTTGGCCTGGGAGGTTCTTCAGTACTTCAAAGTGCCCATTGAAAGTCTTCAATAGAGTCGGTACTGCTTGATCCACTTGCAGGAATGCATCTTTCACGTCCAGGCTTCCCAACCAGTATTTCTCACCCCCAATCTCCTCCTCTCGCTTCTTCTCGAGGTAGATGAGTGGAAGTAGCCTCAGGGCTTGACCTCCTGATGCTGGAGGGTGGACTTCATCGTTCTTCTCGTTGGCATACTCTCTTGCCACCATTCTGGAGCGTCTCAACCACTGCTTTCTATCAGTCCCTGGTCTGGGTTTGGCTCTCCAATCGTGCACGAACCGTGTAGTGAGTGTCTTATGTCCTTGTAGTGGTCCAGTCATTGCCTTTAGGACTCCCATCTCCTGCAATCTGTCTTCTTCCACTTTATCAGCAAGGTCGTCCACCCACTTGGGAGGATCTGGAGGTACTCGATCAAGTGGTGCATCCAGCCATAGGTCGTCTGGTGGACCTTTGCTGCTGCTGAAAGGCTCCTCCTCTTCGTCCTCTAGGATCCACTCGATCTTCTCCTCATCCCAAATGACATCGTTGTGGTAGTACACATCCTCCCCAACCTGGGTAGCAGCGATCCTTCTCTCCATTTGTTCTCCTCCTTCTTGCCTGCTTCTCTTCGGATCTGGACTTTCCATTTCGACTACGTGTGTATTCTTCTCGGTTGTAGGCTTCAACTTCTTGGGCTCTGGCTCACCACCTCCTTCTTCTCCTGAGTTCTTTTGGCCTGAAGGTCTCGGTGTTGATTGTACCAGCACCCGTGAAGGTCCTGCTTGGTTGTTCTCCTCATCAATCACTGGAGTAGGTGTGGACACTGGAATGACTTCTCGTAGTTCCAGCTCCTCCTCCCTAAAACTCACCTTCTTCTCTTCTCGAACTCGCTCCTCTTCTTCATCCTCAACAACTTCTTGGGCGCCCTCTTCATCTTTCTTCTCCTCAATCTTTCCAGCATAAGACCTTGCAAAGGTGATGACGTCGTAGGCCTCCTTGTCCTTCTCCGCCAAAGCTTCCAAATCCTCCACTGAGAGATTCGCCGCTGGGCCCTCCACCAAAGTTGCTAGCCTCTTCGATGGAACGATGCGGCCACCAAAGTTGGTTTGATACTCCCAGCTGTAGGCACTGAAGCCTTTGAAGCACCCGAGATACTGTTTCCAAGACTGGTCGACTCTTCTAATGGATCTACTCAGGAACACCCTGCTTCCATCTCCAACGATCCAGCAGTCCTGAGTTTCGCTCTTCCCCAAGCATATCCCGATCTTCCACCTGGGATCTGCTTTGTAACCTTGCTTGTGCTTGACATAGGCGAAAATGACCTCCCCATACTTGCAGACCTTTCCATCGTAGGGCCTGCCATAGACCAACTCATAGCTCGTCGTGCCCTGTGTAGCTTGGAAACGATTCAAGATCCATGCACTGTGCCTGCAACGCCAGCTCCATAGTGGGTGCTGTGCACTGAACCTCAAACCTGTCTGGGTGACTATCTCCTCCATGAGACTGGCTGCCACTCCCCTGATTCTCTGCACTGCGTTCTCTGCCAAGGAATTGCCAGATGAGTCATACAGCTTTGTTGTCCTCATATGAGTCTCCAAGCCAATTGCCCTTCTCGCCTGGACCAACAACTTCAGCACGTGGGCTCATTGTCAGCATAGTACGTCACCTTCTCGTGTCCAAGAAGTTGGGTGAATGCGAGAATCTCGTGGGCAATGAGACTTGTCTGATTCTTTGAACGAAGCGGCAACCCCATCAAATATCCTGTTTCTGAGCACACCGCTATCAGCCAGAGAGCTCCTCCTTCGTCAGCCACCCCAGCCTGAGCTTGGTCTTCCTCCTCCGGTGCCCCCAGTGGGCCTATCCTTTGGGCATTCGTGTAGGAAAAGTCGAACGACACCACTGGCCCTGCTTCCCGGGCTTTCCCGGTCCTCCTATGGGGGGTCAGGCCGTCCACGGTGTTTGATGCAAGCGGGACACCATGGTGCGTATGGCACGTGAGTGAGTGCGTGCCTTCGCTTCTCCTCTTCATTGGGCTCTTTCGCAATGGACTGCTCCTTGGGGATTCTGCCCTGGGATGCCACTGCTTGATCTGCTAGATCTCGTGCCTGGAGAAGTTCCAACTTCGCCTGATGCTCAACAAGACGGCTAAAGCACTTCCTCTTGCTTCCGGATTGACCAATCTGGTAAAAGGCACATGCTGCTCTCAATGTTCTAAGAGGACTTTCTAAGGTCAGCTCAACTCCATTGACTTGGATCCTGGCCGGAATGGCCGCTCCAATCTCGATGTGCACCCTCTGATCATCCAATGAAGCACCAGCCTGAGGATCTGGGATCTCTATCTCTCTCCCTTCAAACTCCTCATCATCCTCAGCCATCGGCACAGCATACTCTTCTGCACTGGGCCTTGCTCTCTTCGAAGCTTCATAGTCAAAACCATCTACTTCGAATCCAAGATCTTCAGGTGACTGTCCAACTGTCGATGGTGCCACAAAGGTCACAATCTTTGACATGTAGTGGCCTCTCAACTCCTCAATCTCACTCTCCTGATCTTCCATGGCATCAATCAACTCTGCCATTTCCACTAGTTGCCACTTGTCACCCCGTTGCACCACTGTCGATCGGCTCACACCATCTCTTTGGTTCCCCAGGTCAGGAATGAACTGAGGGTTTTGGAAGCACTGTCCTCGGTGAACACCTATCCATCTCTCTCCATGTAGCTCGTCCACGATCTTCTTCAAATTCTCCCCCAGATTGACCTGCAGCATCCTCACGAAACCTGCCAGGGCTACTGTTCGGATCTGACCATGGACCACCAGGCTCTGGTTTTTGACTTCTCCATTCACCAGACACTGCTCTTCTCCGCTAATTGACCATCCTGCACGAAGAAGATGGCCAAAGGAAAGGATGGGCTGAGCTACGACATCACTAAAAGTGACTCTCTCCTTCAGGATTACCACCCGATCATCCTCTGACTTCAGCTCGATGTCAACGTCCCTGTGCCCGTAGGTTCGAATGGCCCTACCTTGGGCATCCTGGAGATGTGGTGACATGCCATGAGCCTTCTTCCCCTGCTTCAGCATGTAGCCGGGAAAGATAGAGGCGTCTGCCCCTGAATCCACGATGATGGAGGCCTTCACCTTCTTTTCCTCCTTCCATCCACTCATCAGGCGGCACTTCATGGACCACCTTCACGCTGAGAGCGCCATCATCGTCCTCCTCATCGTCTGTGGCGATGCTATAGAACTCAACTGCTGCCTTCTTCTTCCTCATGTCCATCGACTGCAGCACGCGAATTGCTCCACTGGCCTCCTCATAGTGCCTCAAATCGAAGACCACTGGCTGTGAAACCCGTCGGATAGCCTTCTGCGTCACTTCACTTCCTGGCTGTACCGACATCGTTGTGCTTGGTGATACTGTTGGTGGAGTTGAACTCGAGGGCGCATTGGATGCTGGGGCTTCAACCTGCCGCACACGCCAGCAATCCTTGGCAAGGTGGCCTGGACGTCCGCAAGTCCAACAAGTCTCAACTGACCCCTTGCCCTTGCCCTTGTCCTTTCCACCCTTACCTTTTCCATTCCTTTCGCCCCGCTGACCATCTTGCCTCCTTTGCCCTTAGACTTGCCCTTCTCTTCTTTGCCCTTGCTCTTGCCTCCTTTTCCATCTTTGGTTTTGCCCTTGCCCTTCTCTTTACCCTTCTGAAGTCTGTCTATTTCCATAGGAGCAGCTCCATTGGGATCATACGGACTTGGTGGCATTGGACTCGAACTCGAGAAGCTCAGTGCAGCTGACTCATTCCACTTGGTGTTCGCTGTATCGTAAGCTAACACTGCTTCTCTGATCTTTGCATAGGAACTGCCCTCATTCAACGTCATGTTGAGATGGATCTTGAGAGGTCCCGAAATGGCCTTCAACAAAACTGCAGCTCTCATGTCCGGCGGCAGCTTCCATCCTAAGCGCTCATACTGGGTGAAGTGCTCCTCAAGCTTGAGCAGCTGGGGCAGGATCGACAGCTTCATATTAAAGCTTGGATAGGCCATGATGCCCTGGAGCAAGTTCATGGTGCGATTTCTGGCCTGTGGTTGGCAGTTCAGGAGCATTTGTCTCAAGGCCTCAAAGCCATTGTAGTTGGAGATGTTCTTGATCAATCCAACCAATCTTCCTTGCACCAGACCTCCTAACAAGCTGTATAGGAACCGGGCTCGTTCTTGCTCCTTTTCGTTGAGGAACTCCCAATCCACTTCTTCTTCACTCTTGTCCTCAATCTTTGCCAACTCCTCCTGGTAGGCGCTGTCCACCACTACCAAATACTGCTTGAGACTCCAGAACCAATCACGCCAACAGAGAATCTCTTGTTCACGATCTGCAGGATGGAAGTTTCCTGGTCGTGGTATCAGGCGAGCCAAATCTTTCTTCACCAAACCACCTGAATCTCCTGTCCCAGTTCCACCTCCAGCTGTTGTCGTTGAAGCTGCTTGCACTGCCTGTGTGGCAGCTGTAGCTGTCGCGATGAGGGCTTGGGTCAACTCTTCAACTCCGGGCAGCACCCCGGTTCCATCCATCCCCCAACCAGGCCTTCGAAGAGGTCAAGGGCGATCTTGATCAGGAGGATGTAGGGCCGTCACCTGAACCTCAAAGGGCTTCTTCTCTTCTTTGATGTAGGCAATCTGGTAGCTCGAGATGTTCACCGCTCAGCTTGGTCAAATAGCCACAAGCTATGATTGCGAGAACTTGCAACACCAGTTTATGGAAGCTAGGCGCACGCGAGGCACTGGGGCGCGTACCCTTTGGGGATATGGGTCCTGTCCCCTCAAGAGTCCCCGGAGCTCCAGGCAGATCGCTCAGCGAAATGCCCTTCTCAGCTCCGCTACCATGCGGGAGCTCTTTTGATCTCGCAAAGGGTCTAAGTGCGGTACACATGATTTGTGTGTGTCATCCTTTGGAACTGGAATGCCTTTTCTTAGCATATATATGTATATATCAATGCGGCGCGCGTGTGGGCGCCACATGTAATGTGAAACACCGACACAGTTAGTCTTGAGTGAAAAGATGAATGCAGGTTGCCACTGGCTTAGCTCTACACAGATATGCTCATAATATATGCAATGTTCTCCGCTGCAACACTCTTGAAAATACCGAGGGCCAACTACCCAAGTGGCCAACAGGATGTCTGGCCGCACCGGCTCAGGACCCCCGGCAGCCCATGCATGGGGCGACAAGGCTGCCTCACGGCCGCTCGCGGTCGGAGAACATCCGTCGTTTGGGACACAACGGTCGTCGCTGCAGCGAGGGTGGTTCACCTCGCCCAGTCTCAGGGGGTTCATAGTCGTGACGTCGTTCTTTTGGGACGTTGAGACCAGCTGGACGGGTGGCCCGCCTCACAGGTTTCATGCTGGCCGTGGGCATCCCAGTACTCGAGCAAAGCCCAATGACAGTGTTTGGACATGATCTCAGAACTACTTTTTTTCAAAAAAAGAAAGACACGGTACTACTTCTGAAAAAGCCTCGGAGGTCCCTCTCACTCAGATCCTTCCACTTTGGGTCCATGTGCCCTGGCCACGTCACTCCACGTGCCGCACGATCTGTGATTCGAGGACTGATTCCCTGAAGGTCAAACACACAAAAACACCCACCGAAGCGTCATTGCCCGCGAACTGAATCTGCCCCATGCCCACGGGCATCCCATTTGAAGAAGGTATGAACACGCACAAAACACACACACACACACCGAAGACGTCCTCCCCCGCGGTGAAGACCAGAAACCACGGCTTCTCGCCCCCAACTCGGCGGACCACGCGTGCCCACGCGCGCCGTCCGGTCGATGGTTCCGACTCACCATGTTCAGCGTCGCCTCTTCGAGCGAAAGGAATGCACTCATCCATGCTCGGACCTGCCCTGAAACTCTGAACAACAAACAGAAGACAAACACATGCCGCACAGCTACGAACAAGGGCATCGCTGGATGCTACGAACGGAGCGATCGGATGCTACGAACGGGGCTCCCCGTCCGACCGCACCTCCTCGTCCGACGTCTCATCCGGCGGGGAACTGGACGAGTCCCCGGTGTCGCTGGGCGTCTGGCGCTGGACGGTGGCCGAGACGGGAGGTGGTGGAGCACAAGGGGTTGCAGGCGTGCCGCGGCGAAACACTTCGGTGTAACAAGTGCATCGCTTCTAGTAACAAGTGCCTTACTACTAGTAACAAGGACGCTACTAGCAACACTTCGGTGTAGGATCATGACTTTGGGAAGAGAAACAGCGGCTCGACGAGTGAGTCTTCGCGGCGACCACCTGGAATGGCACAGCATGGATGGGCACTTTCACGCTGCCGGGCAAACAAGGCTCCAAAAAAATCATCAGAGGTTTTGGTCTGAGCCGGGATGTTCTTATATAATCAAGCTACTAGGGGCTCCTGGCATCGCTACTAGGAGCAAGGACGCTACTAGTAGCTCCTGGCATTACCAGTAGGAGCAATGTTCGCTACTAGTAACAAGTGCATCTGTCCACCCCGTTGGGTGGCGCCGCTTCTTCGCCACCAAGGAGCAAGCTGCAAAACCGATGAAGCGACCAAGGCCCATTTGGGAAGCTTCTTGTTACTAGTAGATTCCTTTGCTAGTAATTACAATTCTAATTAATTTCTTCATGTTACTACTAGTAAGGCACTTGTTACTAGTAGCGATGCTTCCTACGATGGGAAGCTCTTGGATGTTCCAAGCAGAGAGGTTCAACTCTGACATCTCTTAAAAACCAAGTCCGTAGCTATATAACACAGCTCCGAACCCAACAAATTCACATGGGAAACAACTACAACAATTCTCCTCACCCAATGTTGCTGTCTCAACCCGTGAACCAACCAAAAAATACGATGCCAGCATAGACCTCCCAACCAGTTTCAGCAGAACTTTGTGTTGCATCAAGTCCCTGAATTCCAATGTTGTTGGAAACGTCTGCAAGTTTATTCCTGTAGCCTCCAGCTGTTTGGGAATAGCATGTAAAAACAAAGACGACTTTCTGGGAACGGGATGCTATCAAAGTTGAAAGGCTGCATCAGTGGCATTCATTGTTACAAGAAAACAAGCCCGGGGGCAAGGACCAGTCGGAGAATAAAGGGGCCCACGTCACGGTCAAGCATGGACAAAAGACGTGGACAAGGCTGAAGGTGGTGAAGAAAGGGCGGAGGGCGTGGCCAGGGCTATCTTGGCCAAACGGTTTTTCTCCCCCAAGCAGCCCCGGCCTGGTGCGTGACCGAGGGAAGACACCATCCGAAGGAACGAAGGAACGGCAACTGGCACACCGTTTCAGTAAACTGTTTAGGGAAAAAAAAGGAACCATCCAAAATCAAAAGCAAATGAAAACCAAAACAGAGAGTCACCATCCAAATCAACACCAAAAAGTCACCGAGTCCTCACCACCATCTTTTCTCCGTCATCCCCACCCACCCGCTTCATCCTCTCCGACCCTCGACCCTCCGCTCGGCCGTTCGCCTCTTCGGAGTCCGTCGCTTCGGTCTCCCCGGTCTTGCCTCGCTGAATTCGATGCCAACGCGAACGGCGAACGGTTCGGTGGCGATGGCCCTGGTTCCGTTCGGTGGCGCGATGGCCTCCCAAGTCGCGATGGCCGGACGAGTCAAAGAACGAAGTGCTTCGGAAGTTCAGGGTGGCTTATGGACACCCCTGACGGTGTATTTTCCAATCACCACTTTTTCCTCGAACCCGTTTTTGGCAGGTCCAAAGACGAGGTTCTCGATGCGTGACCATCGGGTCGAACTCCGGAGGACGGTGCTCCAAAACACAGGAACGTTGCAAAACGCTACTAGAGGCGTCCTTGTTGCTACAGTAGTAGTAAGGCACTTGTTACTAGAAGCGATGCACTTGTTACTAGTAGCATCCTTGTTACTAGTAGTAAGGCCAGGAGCCCCATTCGTAGTGTCCTTGCTCCGTTCGTAGCGATGCCCTTTGCTCATCAGAAACCATTTCGCAGTCCACACTCCACACAGTCCAGTTCCACCCCCTTTTCGCGCGCGCGCGGAAGCCGGTTCCGCCCACGGCGGGAGCTTCCCCGCCTTCGATGAGGTCGGCGGCCTGGATGACGCGCTGCATCTCTGTGGAGGCCACGGCGAAGATGCTGGTGCCTCGGTGCGTCGGGTGAGGTTCTTTTGCGACGTTCGTAGCTTGCGTTGTTCTTGTTCCGTTCTTCGTAGCGGCCAGGAGCTACTAGGAGCAAGGATGCTACTAGGGGCTCCTGGCCTTACTACTAGGAGCAAGAACGCTACTAGGAGCCAAGGGCATCGCTGCGAACGGAGCGATCGGGCGCTACGAACGGCGCCAGGAGCAGCCAGGAGCTGGTCGTGAGATTTCTTTGTCGAGAATCAGACTTTTGGTCCGGTCAATTGGAGGCCTGCTGGTCCTCAACTTGGTGTGCATGGCTCACGGCTCTTTTCCCATCCATGTCTCCCTGCACCACTCATCGTCCGCTGGGAAAAATGCTGATGTGTCCTCCAACGCTTGCTTTGGTGCTAAGGCTTATAAGGGACGCAGCAATGCGAACTTTCGTGGGGGGTTACAAATCTTATATAGGACCCCTGGTTTCCAGCCAATCCCAGCATCCGCGAAACCCTGCCATGTCAGTGTTGATGTTTCCGAAAAGTGGCCTCGTCCAGACGTTCGAAGTCGATGACGTTCTTGCTGCTCGACCCGTAGCATCCGTTTCTTGGCACCGGGACTCAGGGGCACGATGAAGGCCACCAGGTTCAGACACCTCGGGCGCAGCAAGTCGCGCCAGTCGCGCCATCCAATGATCAGCCGTTGTCCTCTTTTATTTTTGTGTGAACGTGTCGCATCCAATGATCCAAAGAGAAAAAACACACGCAGATTGGATGGCTTGTTAAGGAACCACCCGTTGGGTGCTTACTCCTTTGCCATCCGGGAGTGCTTGGCTTGGGCCGCCCGGTCCCAAGATCGACCCTGTCGAACCACGGTCCACGACCCAGACCCAACAGCACCTCACCCTCTTTCTCGCAAAAACACGCGTCCGGCTCGTGGCGTTGGACAAACCTCTGACCGCATGAGCTACGACCTGCATGAGCTCCGCATCGCTACGAACGGAGCGATGCAAGCGGCTTGTTGGCCTCTTCGCCTTACTAGTAGTAACAAGAAGCTATTAGAAACAAGTGCATCGCTACTAGTAACAAGTGCCTTACTAGTAGTAACAAGTTCATAGTAGCTTCCTACCCCCCCCGGCGCGCGTGCGCGCGCGAAAAGGTCCTAGTAGATTCCTTTGCTAGTAATTACAATTCTAATTAAATTCTTATTGTTACTAGTAGTAAGGCACTTGTTTCTACTAGGGTGGCACTTGTTACTAGTAGTAACAAGAAGCTATTGCAGGGCGACCGGCCCTTTCGGCCCTTTCGGGCACCCGGACATGTTGCCTAGACTGGTGCCGTTCAGCAGAGGGTCACCTGCGAGGTCCGTTGGAGGTCCGTGTCGGTGTTCGCGTGGTGAACCGCCAACCCAAGCTCTGAGGGGAACAAAGAAAGGTCCCTCTCAAGACTGCTCAAGCACTGTTTTACTTGATTTGCTTCAGTTCGCGAGTTCGCGTGAGTTCGAAAGCACCTTCCCTTTGGATGATGATCATAGAAAAACATACCAAGAAGCAACCAAAATGAGATAACCAACCGTCCACTTTCTGTCATGCTCTCCTTCCCCCCTCCACCTACCCTTGCCCAAACACAGAGCTCTGTGGACAAAAGCGCTGTGCAGAGAGCTCCGCAGAGAGCGCTAGCTCCGCTCGCGCTTCGCCTATGAAGTACACCAAGAGCAGGCTAAAGGCATCCGCAATGGCGCGGTCGATGGTGGAAAATGCCTGACCAAAACCACCGAGGTTTCCGCGGGGACGAGCCGAACAGGCGCGCGACTGGATGATGGAGCCCTCCCCCAAAAAGGCCACCCAAAAGCTCCAGACAGCTCTCCCGTACGATGGACTGCGTGACTCATCATTCACTCCAACTGAGCTGTGTTCCTTTCGATTTCAAAATGCCTGTGCACGTTGAATGCCTACGGAGACTCCGCGCAGCAGGCTGCGCGGGTGACCAAGTGGTTGGCTTCGCACCATGGTTGGCTGCGCGTTCTTTTTGCGTGTTCATTCATTGAACCATTGTCATAGTTTGGGTATATCCTAATAACTGCAACAATGGATGATGATGGTTAGCAAAGGCCTTTCTCTAAAATAGTGATAACTGTTTACCGAGTTACAGGTAAGGGGACAGCCCCAAGTCATAGTCAGCTCGATATCAACCAGTCTTGAAAGTAACATTGTCCCTTGGTATTTACCATGGAAGTGGGGTACTCCAATACCGTAGGCCTCTCGGAGCTTCAATGTGTCACCGTTGGCTCCAGCCCATTCGTCCCCAACCCCCCGTCGCTCCTGTACAAGTTTGCCGACAAGCCAGCCGTAACCTGTGCTCCGGTGCCGGGCCGCCATCAAACACGATGGTCACAAGAGGAAGCAGGTTGGTCTGCTGAAGTAGGTTGGAGGCCATCCCTACCAGCTTGGATGTTTTCCTTTGTTATTATAGAAATGAGTCAGCACCATCTCTTCAGATGGTAACTCGAGTGAGCCGAGAGCCAAGTCCGACCAAATCATGGGCGAATTCCCGTGACGCCGGCGGGGTGGTCCGAGCCCCGAACCCGCTCGCAGGATGCTCCGATCATCCCAGGTAGCGGAGGCCGAGCGATCGGACGCAACGGAGCGCACGCGGTGCGTCCCTCGAAGTCGTGGCAAACAAACGTGAGCGAGCTCAGCTTCTGCGGTGTGAAAAAAACCCATGTCTTGCATCTGCGGTGTGACACACTTTGGAAAGAAGCGGTTTCGGGTCAAACCACCTCGGTGACTTCCAGAACTGGAACCCTGGAAATCGTGTGCAACCGGGGCAGTTCGTTGTCCACTCATGTTGGAACCGGGTGTCGATTGTTACGTCGAAGCTTTGAGTTCGCAGTCCAAACCGTTGAGGATCGAGAAAGACAGGGCTCCAAACCGTTTCGGTCAAAACGACCCGTTTCGCTGCACAAGTTGGAAGGTGGCATCGCCGAGCCCAATTCGTTCGGCGTGTTCCGCCCTGAACTTGGTTCCGCCTGTGTTGATGACCAGGGCCAGGATAATGACTCCCAGCACACTCGGGATCCTCGCGCGCCATGAAAAGAATCAAAGCTGATATGAGCCATGATGATCCATGTATAAAGAGTACCTACCTCTTACTACTTGTTAGCTACCACCTGTCCTTGGTGGTTGTTGCCACCATTGTGCTCAGGGCTATCTTCTTTGAATCACTCAAGTAGGTTGGAGGCCATCGCTATCGCTCGTATGTTAGAGGCCATCGCTCTTAGGTTGGAGGCTCTTAGGTCTTTTTTTCATCTTCTTTCAAACACTAGTAGCGAACCTTGTTCCTAGTAGCTTCTTGTTTCTGATAGCAAGCATTGTTCCTAGTAGTAAGGCCAGGAGCCCCGTTCGTAGCGTTCTTCCTCCGTTCGTAGCGATGCCCTTTGTTCCTAGTAACTCGTCGCCGTTCCGGTCCAGCCGGCAAAAATGCCGCTACCACACTCACACTCGCAGGCGGGGTTGCTGCCTTAGCGTCCGACGATCCACGGAACGGGATGAATCGGTTCTCGTGCGGAAAACACCTAAATCGGAAGCAACCTGAAGCATGTGGCTGCCGTACCAAGACAACACTAGAGGCACTGGAGCGTGGGCTGGTCTCCTATAAGCACCGCCCAAGGTTGGAGTTCTTTTTGGAACTAAATCTGGGGTTGCTATGGGGCAGGTAGGAAAGACCGAAGCAACTCTGAGACTTGTTCAAGTCCCAACCAGACCTCCACAGGTCGGGTTGGCAAACGGACGCCCTGGAGATCCCGGAAGGACTTCTTCACTTGGATCAGGACTGTGAATTCGTGGGCTCATTCCATGCCAGATCCGCTCCGTGGCAGTGCTCCGCTACTTTGATGTGTCCAAAGCCTCATTCCATGCCGCCAGTTAGTGTAAAATGCCCGGAACCCATCATGGTTTCAAGAAACAGATCTGCCCGGAATTGCATGGGAGCTGCATTCGCCCAAGACCGATCCTGGCTTCAAAGAGACGCGATGCGGACGGGAATGCACAAAAAGAACATGACGATCACCACTCTTCAGAACTCATCACGTCCAGACCGCAGCCTGTCCGATCTGTCCGGGTGTCTCCCTTTTACACACACGTCGTGTTAAGACCGTCCGTGTTCGACCCTCGGAACCTTCCAAGAAGAGCTCCATGAAACCACACTCCGACGCGTACCGCGTTGAAGTTGTTCGGGGTGCCGAGTGGGCAGCCACCTTGGTGGTCGCCACTGAGGCCGTCCTCCCCGGCCGGCCCCCCCCCATGGGGACCCGGCAACCGTCTGTTGCCCAGCACACCGACTCTTTGGGGCAGGCAGCCCCATCTGGCGCCGCGGGTCGCGTCTGGGGTGAGTCTCTCGTTGTGCAACGACCACCCAAAATACCACTGGGGTGTTGTTGGAGGCCATCGCGGTCGTAGGTTGGAGGCCATTGCTAGGTTTTGTTTTTTGTATCTACCGTAGTCTCATCCAGACTGCACATCCCATCGTGCCTATTGGCCGCACAGCCCAGGGATTGTCCTGCCGAGATGGCTTGACGTGATTGGTGCAGTCTTGTGGTGTCGACTTTCAATTCTACCAGGAACGAGAGAATCTTGAAGCATGCCCTGGGTTGAAGAAGAGAAGCTTCGAATAGCAGGCGCAACGGTGTTTCGATTCTTCCTTGCCTTGATTTGTACTGGTAAGTGAACCATAGGCGCAACCACATAGGACGTAACATCTGCAGTGCTGAAGTGGAAGTGGATTTCCCTATCCCTTCTGTGCCCAAACGATCGTCGACTCGCCTGGGCGCGGTTGGAGATGAGGGCGATGATGGGAATGAACGCCAACGCCGAGACGATGCACGAGGTATCCAGCCGCACCTGGCGATACGTGGAACGAGACGCTTTGGAAGGGGTTTTGGAAGGTGTTTTATTCCCTTTGATTTGTATATATTTAAGGCCGCTCTGCCCCTGCCCCCGCTCCTACTTGATTAAGTAGGGGCCTACTTAATCAATCAAGTAGGGGCGACTATTTAGCAGAAATCGACGCAGGATAGTTCATGCTTCTTCGACGTGGAACGAGATGCTTTTTCTTGGAAAAAGAAAAAGCACAAAAAGGAAGAAGGGTCCAAAGAAAAACGGGAAGAATGGTTTAAATCGCTAGTAGGTTCTAGTACGTAGGTTGAAGGCCATCGCTAGTAGGTTGGAAGCCGTCGCTAGTAGGTTGGAGGCCATCGCTAGTAGGTTGGAGGCCATCACTAGTAGGTTCCTTTAATAGTCTTTTTCTATAAGAATCTTTAAACAAAAAGTGGCGTGTTGACATGCTCCATTTCGCGAGCTGAAGAGTTGTGCACGGGCCCAAAAGCGGCCACCTCCATACTCTGAGGTGGGACGCAACTCTTCCTTGGCATTTTTGATTAATGGAAACTGATTCTTTGGCCATCATGTAGAAACTGAATCATTCTTTAATAATTTTCGATTAATGTCCGGAGATGATTCAGAATGATTAATGATTCAGTCTCAATTCATTGAGAAAAAAACACATTCAATTCTTTCGAAGCACCAGCCACCAGCCAGGGGTCATGTCCAACGCCCACGGGGCCTTCTGCACGTGATACCGAGCCTGGCGCACCACACGACCCCAGGACCGCCCGGTGACGACACGCCAACGGTGAGCATGCGAGAACCCCCCAGAAGCTTTCTGCCGGAGACGCGCGGAAGCGCCATTTTTGCGCCAAGCCAATTGACCTAAAGACCACCAATCTGAAATAGGATGATACATATATCCGTTCTGACAAAGGAATATCTCCCCACCTCATCCGGTCGTCTACTGACTATCATCTACTGAGATCCAAACCAACAGGACCGTGAATCCCCTCTAAACACAGGTCCGAAGAAAACAACTCAAAGCGCTAAATCAAGCCGACCCTGAACCTGGGGATACTACCGGTAGATGCGATGTCTTGGACGGCCGGACCCCGGCGGCCGAAGGTGAACGAGCGGCCTCCACCGCGACGTTCGCAAAGGGAATCCACTCTACTGCGCAAAGTCTGTCGGACAGTCGCATTTGCCGAACGAATGGACTCAGCATGAAGCAGAGTCGCACGAAACACAAAGGGAATGGGCTAGGAATGGCCTCCAACCTGGCAACTGCGGCCTGCGGCCTCTCCTTCCGGGTCCACCACAGCCGCCTTTCCAACCCGCCACACCGACGCCGCGACGCGGGTGACCGGTGCCTTGTCTCCTTTGAGGATCCGCTCGGTCAACAAAGAGTTGAACGCCGACGCCACCGCTGAGCCTTGTGGGGTCCAAGGCCGTGGGTCGACCGTCAGGTATATTTCCCCCCCTTCGGACGCTACTAGGAGCAAAGGGCATCGCTACTAGGCCCCGGCTTGCAACATCCTCCGCTTCCAAGGCTTGCAAACGTTGCACCGTCAATCAGACATCAGCGACCCGTCAGTTTCACAGGGGAATACAGGGGCGAACGGGAGCTCAGCCGTGAACATGGTGAAGACCCGAAGTTGAAGACTGAATTCCAGGTGAATTCTTAGATTATGACTGTTTGATTGTGTAGCCTTGACACACTTTCACATCTCACAGTTACATCTATCACTGCATCTTGCTTGAAAAGAACGCCCCATCCATTCCAGCTCCCCGTTCTTTCTAACACGTCCTCCCCTGTCCACCATCTTGGCGAGTTGGAGTCTTCCCGACTTTCACGCACGGAGTGTGGAGTGGATGACTCAAACGACGTTCTCAAACCGAACTGGTAGTGGATGACTGAGTCGTTTTTCATGAATCGAAATTCCAACAGTAAACTTCTTGTTACTACTAGTAAGGCACCTGTTACTACTAGCGTGGCACTTGTTACTACTAGCGTGGCACTACTACTAGGATTCAACTGGAAGTCTTCCCAAACGAGTTTGGCCAGTTGACGGACGTTTGTCTCTTCGGCCAGGCATGGCCATGTCGTTCGTTCCGTGCGTCGTTCGTTCGTCCACCACCCCGCCTACCACCAGCAACATGGCCACCTCGGTTTCCACATGTCCGCCACGCACGCTCTCTGAAACGCTACTAGGAGCAAAGGGCATCGCTACGAACGGAGCAAGGACGCTACGAACACGGGGCTCAACGCTACTCGCTACGAACGGAGCAAAGGACGCTACGTGACACGCCGTTGGGTCCTCCTCTCTGAAACGGTGACCCTCGCGCGTGGTTTTCTCCACCTTAGGTCCACGAAAAAAGACCAAGAATCGAACACAACGGATGAGTCCAAACCAAACCAATGTAGACTCTTGATGAGTGTTCACCCTCCCATTGGAATTATCAAATCCTCAAATGAGGAGTGAAATATCATCAAGAGTTTACAAAATGAATGTTTGAAAGACAATGTGTTTTATGTGTTTTTCGGCATGACCCTGCAGTGGCGAGAACCGAACCTCCTGGTGACTCCGCCCTTGGGCGCTGCTCGTCACCAAACCAAGCGACGATTTCATGGCTGAAAAGGATCCCCTCCCGACCGTCGCAATCCATGGGCGCCACTGGGGATTGGTTTCCTCTTACACTGGGGATTCTCTCAAAAACAATACGCTTGGGTGGTTTGAACACTCTTCCTTCACCTTCCGAAACGTGCCTCCTTGCTCCTAGTAGCGATGTGGCTCCTTACTGGTAACCACGGCCAGGAGCTACGTTCGGTCCGCGTCCTTGCTGATAACCCACTGGAGTGGACACACCCGCGGCCGGCCAAGCTAGGCCCTGGGCTCTCATGGAATCCATGCCACCGTCCCACGCAGGGCCCGACCCCGGACTGAACGCCTCGGTCAAAAGGGGTTGAGAGCGACGATTTGGGGGCGTCTCTTCGGTATGGACGGGTCAGACCGAGAGCCAAAACAACTCACCGAAAGCCACACCAACCATGACCAAACCCTAAACCCTAGCCGCTAGAGCCCACAAAAGCCCGCTAGAGCCCTAGCCCGCGTGCCTGGAGATAGCCAAAAATCATACTGGCAAGGGTCAGAATGGCGATGGCCACATACCTCAGAAATTCCAGGCAAAAATTGTGAGTGCTTCGGTGCTTCTCCGACATAATGGCGATGATTTCACCTTCGGGCGTTTCCATCTACAATGTTTTCCCTCTGGATGCTCCATTTTCCTCTACAACATCAATGTGTTCAGCTTCTATGTCAGTCTGCAGGTGTGTAACCATTTGTACTGAAGGCGAAAAACCTTTGTTGCCCCCATCACCCACCCATCAGCCCTGTGCCCCTTCCCTCTGCTTTTAGAAAAAATTCAGTCATCCAGCGATGTCAGCATTCTCCTACGCAACCCTGTTGGATGGAGGAAGGCGTTCTTGGTCGGAACTAGTCATCTAAACTGCTGACTGCTGGTTGAGGAGAAAAAAACAAGCCGAAAGAGTGGAGTTCTGCTCCCCCAGTTCCCCCGTCCTTTGGGAACGTCTCCATGTCTCCTCTTTCGACACTCGACTTTGGTTCGCCCCAAGCTGTGAAGAAGCCTGAGTGAAAAATTGCCTGGGTAACACAGGTTGTATGTAAGGCGGTCAGACCATCCTTGAAAGCTCCAAGTCGTCGAAAGAAACTCCACGAACACTTGTCTGGAGAGCTGGCATTACCTAACCAGCCTGACATGCAGAGGAGAGCATAGTCACCAAATGCCACAAGCTTCAGCAGCTACGCGCAGGTGATCAGTCTCCGCTTCCCCCATCATGGAACAGCTTCGTTGGCCCTCGACGGGCCTGTGACCTGCGCACACTCGGGATATTTCGTACGGAAATGAAAGCCACTTGCCACACGTCCACCTGAGTATGTAAGCCTAAGAGTCAGGGGAGGAATATGTAAGATGGCTCGACTATGAATCTGAAAGGTCCTCAAATTCCGACCACGAAGTCGCTCGAAGAAGTCGACGACTTCGGCCGAACGGCGAGCCGTAAGGCTGCAGAACCCATTAGCACTTTACAGGAGAGTGGAGTGACAGCTTGGTCAACAGTTCAAAAAGGAAGCAAGTACGTGGAGTTGATCAGACTCCATATCACTCGTGGCATAGCCCTCTTCGTCGGGCTATGCGCACGAGGTTCCCCCCTGCTCTATTAAAAACCGACAGGTTCCCTTGGATTCCAAGAGTTTCACACACACAAATAGTTCTTGCAAACCACCCTGACTGACCATCCACCAGTCCTGGCCAACGTCCTGGCAGTCGTCAGTCGTCTGTGCATCTGTCGGGTGGACGGCCGCAGACCCTGGTTCTTCCGTCGTGGGCCACATCCTTCGTCTTTGGATGACGTGGGCCCAACATGTCGAAATGGCATGGCCAACGTCCTGGCTGGGCCTCCCAACTCCAGCCACATGTAGTACTTGTTGAGGACCTCAAAGAAGGGACACTGAGAGAGTTGGGGACACCACCATCTCACCAGCCATTTGCTATTAGGTTAGAGGCCATCGCTAGTAGGTTCATCGCTAGCAGGTTGCAGGCCATCGATATGAGGTTGGAGGCCATTGCTATTAGGTTGGAGGCCATTGCTCTTCCCCTTGCACTGACACCAGTCTTCCATGAAGATCCCCATGGAAACCGCACCGGTGCTTTAAGCCCAGCGGCCCAGCGCGCTCCAATGGCCGCCACCGGCGTGTAAAGCTTCCCGATAATTAAGGCCAACGCTGCATTCATTCCTGACAACGAAGCTGAGCGATTCGAAAGGTGCAACCTTCCTGGTGGCCTCGAAAGAAAGCAACATCACCGGCCGCACGGACTCTTTTTCTCAGTCAGTGCCAGTGCGTACCAGTTCATCAACCATGATACACGAGCTGCATCGTATCCCTCATGGTCTTCGTCTTGTACGCTGCATCGCGGCCTGCAAAGTGCACGATGAAGAGTCCTGCAACAGGGGAAGAATCAAACTAGCTCTAAAAACATTAAACAACACCATCTCGCTCCAACAAATGTGGAGTCGCGGGGTCGGATCATCCATGGACTGAGATGACATTGCATTACAACCACCTGCCACACCTGCCACTTCACCAACGCTGGACACGTACCACATCATCGTAGGGAAGGACATATTAGTTCATTTACCGGTAGAAGCACACGACTTGGCCACACAACAGCACGCAGAAGATAGCGATCAGGAAAAAAACAAGATCAGCAGTGAAAACATGATCCTCCGATCTTCGGGGCGGCATGATCCTCCGACTTCCACCGGTTCTCCTGTTTTGGGAACGCCGTCTTTGTAGTAGTTCAAGGCGTTGAGCTCATCCTTTGGACGCATGTCCACGCCAGTGACCAGCTTCGGGTTGCAGCATCCCTCTGGATCACCCGCCAGGTCCGGCAAATGATCACCTTCAGGAGGGGCGGTGCATCGCTACCGGAGCCCAGTGCTATTGGGGGTTTGAGGCCATCGCTATTAGCTTAGAGGCCGGTGCTAGTAGGTTGGAGGCCATTACTAGTAGGTCGGAGGCCATCGCTGGAAGGTTGGAGGCCATTACCTGATGGGTTGGACTGTCCAGCCCAGTCCTCGAACGATTGGAGGTTCGGGCCACAAGGCCTAACCTATCCTTGGATACAATATCTGAAGTACCTCATCCATATGGGGTGAATTCTATTCCCTGGGCACAGCAGATGATGATGGTTAGGTTGCAGGCCTTCCTCCTTTTCATAGTGATAATTGTTTACCGACCTTTATATACAGTACCCCACTGTTACTCACCCACCAACAACATGTGGCACATTCTAACATGTGGCACATTCTGTTCGCGCGAGAGAAAACACGCACCCGGAACACGGCATGACCGAGAGACCACCACCACCAAGCGCAACAAGGACACCACCCAAGCAACCAAACCCCAAGCTTTTGCTATTGGGGAACAAATATGAAAAGTTCGTCTGTGGGGGGAACCTACCAAAGCAAAATCAGGTTCTGTATCTGAAAAACCTGCTCATAGTCTTCAAAAACGAGCGTCGACATGTTTCTGCTTTCTTTTTTGCTGCTTTGGAGGCAGAGAACTTGTGCATGACGTAAATCATGGCCGACTGATCTTGCCACGGGTACGGGGAAGGATAGGTGTCCCAAACTTCCTTCAAGAATTGACGCGTCCACTGGTCGTTCTTGAACCTGGGTGTTCCGTAAGCAGGTGCTCTCCACCGTTTAGATGTATGTTCTTCCACTCACTGAAAAGGTTTTTGAAAGCCGATGTGGAATTTTGAAGTTTCGGAGTTGCGGGAAAGAGATGGTTTCAGGCTCTCTCTCCCGATGTTGTTCTTCTGCGACTTGATCCAAAGATCAAAATGTACCCAGCGACTTGACGATTGTACCTCCAATCCACTATGCTGCATTGCTGAAGGGGAAAATAAAAATGGCTTTTAACTGATCAGCCAATGGAACAACATGTGCCCAGAGTTAAAGTAGCAAAGGTAATCTCCACTGAAGGTCATGGAGCTGCTTCCTCTGGGCGCGTAGTTCATCAAGCTGATGGTCTGATTCACAAAGAGCGAATCGCTGTCTGTCCAAAACACGTAGTCCACCTCCGGCTCATATTCGAGCACATTCAGAAGTGCCAACACTTTTGACCAGTGTGGGGGCCTGTCTTCCGCACCGGGAGGGGTCTGGGTGAAGAATACCAGCTTGTAGCCATGATAGTCGGTGTACTCTTGGAAGTTCTGTTTAGCCAATGTGCACATATCCTCCGTGATCGAATTGTTGCTTTCGCCTTGGAGAAACGTTCTGCAACAACCAGAAAAACGGAGAAAAACAAGAATAGAAACGTCGAACGCCGCAACGCCACGCCCCTTGGGACCCGTCGCAACAGTGCTTTTCGTTGCCTGTTTTGGAATACGCAATGGATGGGCTCGTGACGATATTGCAATCCGTATTCCGGGGGAAACCTGGACGTCAGTGACTAAAGAGTTTCGGATGTCTCACGATATTGCTTTTAGTAGCGTCCTTGCTCCTAGTAGCGATGCCCTTTGCTCCTAGTAGCGCTCTTGCTCCTAGTAGCGTCAAATGATAGGTGCTTCATGGTGCTTAAGCCTAGGAAGCCTCTTCGTTTCGGTGAGTGACGGAATCTTGAAGTTTCGAGTGAGGCGAGACGTGTTGAATCAAGTCGAACGGGTGCATGAAGCTAGAAACCAGCTGAATTCAACCGAGATACTCATGCAGCCAGAGACAACCACCACCTGTTTGCCAAAGCAGAATGTGTCAACACTTTCTTGGCTTCAACACTTTCTTGGCTCATTTGCTCTGAGAAGACTTCCGTCATCCCAAAACGGTGCGTTTCATGTTCGGTTCCCGGCCTTCTCGGATTTGACTTGTAGCAGCGACTCCTTGTGGGGAACGAGGAGTCGTCGCGGAGACTCGTTCCCCACCCCATGTGCGAACGCCGCGAACAGCGCCGCCGGAAAGCACTAGGTTAGACAAACGTGGACGGCCGAAAGGGATTTCTGAACAGCTTTGAAACTAATGAAAACACCTGAAAACGACAACGGCCAAGATTGATTCTTGAAGAAACACCTCAGGAACGCTTGATGGTCTACCGACTTCCCAACCTTGCCTCGTCGCATTCTGCATTGGCTGCATAGGTCAGGCGGGCGAGGAAGAACAACGTCGCTACAAACATTGGCATGAGCCTTGGACAGGAACGAGTTGGGATAATCATCCGACTACTAGGAGCAAAGGACGCTACTAGGGGCTCCTGGCCGTACTACTAGGAGCAAAGGACGCTACTAGGGGCTCCTGGCCTTACTACTAGGAGCAAAGGACGCTACTAGGGGCTCCTGGCCTTACTACTAGGAGCAAGGACGCTACTAGGGGCTCCTGGCACTACTACTAGTCTGTGAACTCCCACCGTCCGACCCACACGACCCAGTCGGGTTTTCGGCTTCGCTGTCAACAACACCGGCATTTGGAATTTGCTCCGACCGAAGACGTCGGCAGAATGCACGGTCCCTTTCCCCATCTTTCCCCTCCTTCCAGTTCTTAAACAAAAGGGATGGCAGGGGTACGAGGGTTTTGGGTCTCTCGATCTCAGCCTGAACGGCCATGGCGAGCTTCTGGGCGATCTCTTCACGAACGCAGGTCTTGCAGTCAAGCAGCCCGTTCGGGTCAGCCGGGAGGATGGCAGGGAAAAAGGGGTTCAGTTTCTTTCTTGAGCAGCTCAACTCAAACAAGCACCGTTCAAAGCGCTTTGCCCATCTAAATGCAGGGAGTGGGATGGAACTTCGCAACGAAAGGTCCTAAAAAGCACGCCACAGCCATAGAAGCAAAGTGTACAGCCATTTGTTGGTGTTGATGTGGCTGCCCCTCACTGTTCACTGACATACTTCCCGCGAAGCATTGGCCAAGGCCACCCACTGCCAGCTCCACATCGGAAAGCCTTCTGTGGGCACTTTGAGGGGACCCTTCCAGTCTCTTTGAAATACTCCACTCCACGTCAAACATCGCATCTGGCAGCAGAAACAACATGAAGCTCAAACCAATCCACCAACAGCGTTGTGTTGAACCCGGTTTCTCCCACAGCGCTGTTGTCCTTGGGAAACCCCCTCCGCCTCCCACGCATTGAACGACCGTCGATCCCGGCGCCGTGCCCGGCTCCGGGTCCCGCGGGAGAGCAGCTCCGGGTCGCCTTGAGAGTAAGCCATGTTCATCAAGGTCGCAGTCAAGGCCTCAGCGTCGCGAGGTCACCGGTGATGTCGTCACCCAGCGATGGGTGGATTTTCTTAGAGAAATAGCGACCAGAAGTGCAAGAGACAAAAGAAAGAAAGGAAGAACGGGGTAGAAAAAACGAAATCATTTTTTTGGGGACTCCCTCCCTGTAACAAAAGACTGCCAAGAAAGGTCGCTTGGCCAATCAAATCCGCTTCACCGGTTTCATGCCGCCATCGTTGATACTGGATCCTCCTACCTCCCATCTCTCGCGTTTTCGCGTTTCCAAATGGGTCCGAGTTCGTGGCATAGAGGAAGCCTGGAGGTGTGCACTTCAAGATCTTCATGGGATGCCAGGCACTCCTCGCTGCATCCAGGCACTCCGCGCATGTTTATTCCTTTCTTTAGATCTTCTTTCCTTCTTTTCTTTCCTTGTTCTTCTTTAGCGTTTTCTTTAAACCATCATTCAGCTTTCTTTCTTGCGACTGTGCTTTTCTTTTTTGTCCTTTCTCTGGGCCTTTCTTCCTACGTTTTCCCGAATGCGTAGCGAAGGGTTCTCGTTTAACTTGGGAGTCTGAGGGTAGAGCTGTGTTTGCCCGACGTTGTTTTCGAGTTCGCAGCCGTCCGCAACCGTTCGTATGATGTCTCTATGGCCCTGCCATTGGGGGAAGCTTTTGCAAGTGACTTTTCATGGATGTGTCACGTGTCAGTTTGCGCCGCTATTACATTGTGATTTGCATGAAAGTGACATGTCGCGCAAGAAACGTGATGCATTTCGCTGCACAGGCGCAGGGTTTCGTGAAAGTGACATGTTTGTGTCGGTATTCCATTTGGATTAGCGTTTGGAGAGTCAGGGTGTGGCATCGAAGCGTTGTTTTCGTGACAAGTCTCAGCTGAAATGGTGATTTTGGTGGATGGGAGTGTGCTCAGAACGGGCCGAAATCATTCCAAACGTGTGGTGTGGTACAAATTTTGTTGAAGCTCACATGAGATGACATTGTCACTTTTCGTGGCCGGCGCAGTACTTTGTGCGGGTTTTGAGGTGTGGAAGTGCGATTTTTGTGGCAGGCGCAGGGGATCGTGAGGTTGCGATGTGTGACGGAGGTGACATTTCGTGGCAGGCGCAGGACTTTGTGCGCGTTAGACGTGTGGACGTGGAAAGATTCGTGGCGGGCGCAGGGAATCGTGAGGTTGTGAGTTGTGGTAGAGGTGAATGTCGCTGTGACATTGGGATTGGCGTGTGAGCGGGTGTCGTTTGGAGGGGCTCGAATCGCGAAACTGCTTGGCAGGGCTGCGCGATGGGTGTGCTCCGATGGGTGTTTCCGCTTGACTTTGGGGGGGAAGTCTCGTACGAAACGCTCGTTTTGCAGACTTTGACATGTGAGTTTTTGAGGAAGTCTCGTACGAAACGCTCCTTTTGGAGCCATGACGTGTGACTTTTGGAGGAAGTCTCGTACGAAACGCTCGTTTTGGAAACTTGACGTGTGACTTTTAGAGGAAGTCTCGTACGAAACGCTCGTTTTGGAGACTTGACGCGTGACTTTTGGAGGAAGTCTCGTACGAAACGCTCGTTTTGGAGACTGTCACGTCGGAAAGTGACATACCTGGCAGGACTTTGTCTGTGTTACACTTTCTAGCAAAATGTCTAGCAAAGAGTGTCAAGAAAGAGTGTCTAGCAAGAGCGTCTAGCAGAGTGTCATTTCAAGAGTGTCCAGCAAGAGTGTCTAGCTAGCAGAGTGCCCTGCCCAGCAAGAGTGTCCAGCAAGAGTGTCAAGCAAGAGTGTCAAGAACAAGTGTCAAGAAAGATTGTCTAGCAAAGAGTGTCAAGAAAGAGTGTCTAGCAAGAGTGTCAAGCAAGAGTGTCCTGTCAAGAGTGTCCAGCAAGAGTGTTTAGCAGAGTGTCAAGCAAAGAGTGTCAAGAAAGAGTGTCACACAAGAGTGTCCAGCGAGAAAGTCTAGCAAAGAGTGTCCAGCAAGAGTGTCCCGCAAACGTGTCAAGCAAGAGTGTCAAGATAGAGTGTCTAGCAAGAATGTCTAGCAAAGAGTGTCCAGCAAGAGTGCCCAGCCAACGTGTGTCTAGCAAAGAGTGCCCAGCAAACGTGTCAAGCAAGAGTGTCTAGCAAAGAGAGTCAAGATAGAGTGTCTAGCAAAGAGTGTCCCGCAAAGAGTGTCAGGCAAGAGTGTCAAGAAAGAGTGTCAAGAAAGATTGTCTAGCAAAGAGTGTCAAGAGAGAGTGTCAAGCAAGAGTGTCCAGCAAGAGTGTCTAGCAGAGTGTCAAGCAAGAGTGTCCAGCAAGAGTGTCAAGCAAGAGTGTCAAGCAGGAGTGTCAAGAGAAAGTGTCAAGAAAGATTGTCTAGCAAAGAGTGTCAAGAAAGAGTGTCAAGGAAGAGTGTCGTGTCAAGAGTGTCCAGCAAGAGTGTGGAGCAAGAGTGTCCAGCAAGAGTGTCAAGCAAGAGTGTCAAGAACAAGTGTCAAGAAAGATTGTCTAGCAAAGAGTGTCAAGAAAGAGTTTCAAGCAAGACTGTTTAGCAAGAGAAAGTCTCGTGGACAATGCTCGTTTTTGGAAGCTTTGATTGTCGCTTCTGGTGAAAGTCTTGTTAAAAATGCTTGTTTTCAAGAGTGTCAAGCAAGAGTGTCCAGCAAGAATGTCCTGTAAAAGTATCCAGCAAAAGTGTCAAGCAAGAGTGCCCAGCAAGAGTGTCAAGAGAAAGTGTCAAGAAAGATTGTCTAGCAAAGTGTGTCAAGAAAGAGTGTCTAGACGGCTGGGGAGGTGCTGGCGCTGTCTTCCGACGTGTTCTTCTTTTTTGTTTTCTTAAAACCATTCTTCTTTCTTTCTTTAGACCTGTCTGCCTATGTTTTCTTTCTTTCTTTAGACCTGTCTGCCTATTGTGTTCTTTCTTTCTTTAGACCTTTCTTCCTTGTCTTTTTCGTCCTTTCCTTGGGCCTTTCTTCCTATCTATTCCTTCCTTGTTTTGTTTATGCGTTTTCTGCAATGTGTTCAATTTCCTTTTTTAGACTCCACACTTGGCCCCCACACCCAAGGCCCTTCAAGCCCTCTACATACCTTCCAGATCGGCGTTGGCCGCTAACGAGACGATCCGCGTCGGGCCAAAGTCTGGTCGTCTGGGACACTCGAACAACTGTGCTGTCAAGAAGCTACGAACGGAGCAAAAGGCATCGCTACGAACGGAGCAAGAAGCTATTGGGAACAAGAAGTTGCAGGATGTCCACCAACTTCACCACCTGACATTCGTCTATGGATTGTGGTTCCCAGTATTGATATGTTCATATATATATATATATACCCTGGGAGTCAAAGACTATAAAAAGAATGGTCTTTAGGGGACCTGAAAGGGAACTTCCTTTACTTCAGCCGGTCAAAATATAGTCTTTGGACTTCCAGGGTATATATATATATATATATTCAATCTCCTCAACCGATGTCCAACTGAAAAACATAAACTCTCGTCGCATCGAGACGAACTTGTCAGAGTCCGCAGCTTGCGGACGCAGCTTGGGGACGCTTTTGAATCGGTATGATACGGTCAAAAGCAAACGGGGACCGCTTCGGCGTGTGCTTCGCGACGTCCAGATTTGACGCTTCAATGGTCCAAAGTGGGTGGGAACCAAACTGATCCTTCCCACGGCTACGATTGAAGACAAAGAGGCTTTTCAAGTCGCTAGTAGTAACAAGTGCCTCGCTACTAGTAACAAGTGCCTTACTAGTAGGAACAAGAAGCTGTTAATGTATTTTCTATTTTAAGTCCTCTCCGGGGCTGAAAAGTCCCACCAGCTCTTCGCTTCTTGTGCTCATGACTAAGGAGACTAAGGAGACGCTCGACCGATGACCTGCAGAAAATTTGAAACTCACCGCCACAGGCTGCTAGCATGCCCCCCTGAAGGATTCCTATCGAGGACTGGACACACGGTCCAGGACCTATAAAAACGAAAAGAAAAAACGAAGCCAAGGGAACACGGCGTGACCAAACAGTCCACTTGAAGGTTCAACTCTTGCAAGTGCTTCAAACTCTCGGCAGACCACTCCACAACATGTTTGGGCCACCAAGATGTACTCTGGGAAGAGAAAACGGCTCGCAAATTCCAGGTATTGGACCCTCTGTAGTGGGGGGTTGAAAAGGGCTACCAGCCCGACCGCTGAACGGCGCACAAGGTCAGCATGGAGGCGACCACCTCAGCACATGGAGGCGACCCCGCACGGTTGTTTTTGGAGAACCCCCGATCTCGCTACATCCCAGTTTCATGCCCAAAACCTCTAAATTATGATGATGGTTTGGGAGGACCTCTCATGACCAAGAAGAGATTACAGTACATTCAAAAATAAAGAAAATAAGGACTAACAAACACATCTGCAAGTGGCCCGAGCTCGAAAATTTGAAGAACGCAAAAAAAAGAAGAAGGCCAAAACCAAAAACGCGCCACACATGCACCGAAACCTCAAGACCACATCAAACGCGGCCAAAAAGGAACCGCAACAAGCTCCGACCCGGGCAAAACGCTCCACGCTCCATCGTCTGGGCTCCTCCGGCCACTCCGATGATGTACACGACCAAGGTCATCGAGCTGGGGTTGATGACCGTGGAGCTTAAGGCCTGGCGGGGCTCGCCGTGGTACGGGGCAACGTGTGCGTCGATACGGGGGGAGGAGAGAATGGTTTTTCATGTGTCCAAACCGGTGGTGGTGGTGGTGGTGGTGGTGGTCGAACACCGACTGCAAACACCAGTGCTTCAACCTCTCAGGCGCTCTCTCGAACCGAGCATCTCTCGCTGAACCGAGCCCGGTGAGATGAACCGAAGAAAAAGAAACAGGCGAACAACGCCGAGAGAAGACGAGGCACGGGAAGGGCTGCGATGTTCGCAAGGAGGGCACACCACGGGTCTGCAATGTTTCAAAGGGACCCACGGGTCTTTTGTTCGACCAGAGATGAGCAAAAGGAAAGGTCTCTGGGACCGCCCGGTCAGAATGGGTCCAACTCAAGAGTTTTTCAACTCTCAGGTGGTCCAACTTGCGGAACACAACACGAACTCCACACAACACGAACCGTTTTGTCCCACGAACTCCATCCCCACCTTTGCCAAGGTGAGATTTCGGATGGCATCCGACAACTGAGGTGGCGACGCGGCAAGGGCAAGATGGTCATGAGTCATGAAGGTGATTGAATACAAGCTCACCCAGTTTCTAGGTTGGAGGCCATTTTCTGGTCGGTTGGAGGCTATGGCTCTTCGGTTGAAGGCCATTATTAGGTTGGAGGCCATCGCTCTTCGGTTGGAGCTCACCAGCTCCTTGCGCTGAGCGTCCGAAAGGGATCGCTTTTTGGTCTGACACCCCAAACGTCACCCTCTCTTTTAGGGTCAGGTGAAGAAAAAAAACGGAAGGCCGATCTTCTAACCTGTGGACTTTGCCCCTCTAAATCATGGGATACGAGAAAAACACCATGTCCTCCATGTTCCGGAGAGATCTAGCATGTTCCGGATGTGGATGGCCTGATGATGGCCGAGAACGGTCTCGCTGAAACGCGGCCGCGTCGTTGCTTCACTCGTTGACCCGCTGGTGAAAAAAGAAATGAACAGTCGGTATTTGTGAAGACTCGTTTTCACTCGTCCACTGTCCTGAGACCAGTTGGGTATTTTAGAGCAAACAAGTTGGCCGACGCCCAGATGCCGAGGATAAGGCCTCGGCAACAAGGCCTTTCCAAGCTCCCCAAAAAAGGTTTTCGAAATTGGGACCGACTGGGTCCAGGTCAGAAGAACACCGCCAAAGCAAACCCAACTTCTCCGCATTCCTCGCTGTCGGCCGACGAGGGGAGAGAGCGTCCTCCCCCCCCTAAGGTTGTCTGGGCGTTCCGGGCGATGTAGACCAGGATGAGAACATACTTCCGACAGGCAGCTTTCCTCAGCCCAACTGCATCAGCCTAAAACCAAACTCGGTGGGCTTTGCTTGGTCCGTTCAATGTGACACCAAGAGATGAAGAGAACCATCAGAATTCAAACCAGACCTGAGAGGAGCTCAAATTCTGCCGTGTTGTCGCAGCTCCGTTGTCCTCCGGTCTGGTCGGCTCCGGCGTCAGGACCGGAGGGGTAGGAGGAAAGCACCCAACCGATTCGCGATGCGACGACCGGACATCCCGAGGTGAGGGTCAGACAGGTCAAGTAAATTTCGAGCACGTGAAGGCTCACCGAGATTTGATCCTCCTGTCCTGGTTGATTTCTCCCCACAGCAAGACGAATATAAACGACGAAACAAACAAACAAACAAACCAAACAAACAAACAAACAAACAAAAAAACAAACAAACAGACAAACAAACAAACAAACAAACCAACCAACCAACAAACAAACAAACAAACAATTTCTTTTTCCCGAGAGCGTCTGCGAAGGGTTCTTCGCAAAAAACATCTGCAGAACTACGTCTCATCTACATCTTCACATCTTCACCTCTGCACATCCACATTCTCACCTATATCTCTACTCATCTTCACATTCTCACCTATATCTCTGCTCATCCTCACATCTACAACATCTACATTCTCATCTATATCTCTGCTCATCTGCACCTCTACATCTCTGCTCATGTTCACCTCTGCACATCTACATCTCTGCTCATCTTCACATCCTCACATCTACATCTCTGCTCATGTTCACATCCTCACATCTACATTTCTGCTCCTCACATCTACATCTCCCATGTTCACCTCTCGCTCTTCTTTACTTTCTCTCTTAAGGCCAGGGGCCGTGCCGCCGGAGCACCACGAAACGCAACCCTCTGCGGAGATCGTGCGTGTCGAGGGCACAAAATGCACGCGAGAGTGCGTTTTGGATTTCGTGCGGGCAAACCTCTGCAGAGATCGTGCATGCAGGCGAGAGTGCGTTTTGGGTTTGGCGCTGGCAACCCTCTGCGGAGATCGTGCGTGTCGAGGGCGCGAAATGCAGGCGAGAGTGCGTTTTGTCTCTGTCCGGCGCAACCCTCTGCGGAGATCGTGCGTGTCGAGGGCGCGAAATGCAGGCGTTTTGCCCCGGTCGCGGGCAACCCTCTGCGGAGATCGTGCGCGTCGAGGGCGCGAAATGCAGGCGAGAGTGCGAT